ATACTGTCAACAATAGAGTTTAAAAGAAGGAGAAGGAGAAGGAGAAGGAGAAACATGCCTGGCGTGTTGAAGTCTGCCTGCAAGAGAATTTACCAGGAAAGGGACCGGAGGAGAGGAGCTGTGCCCACACCATGGCCTGGGACGGGGAGCATCCCTGAGGAAGACGTGGCTGGGCGCGCTCCTCCGCCTGCGGGACCCGCAGTGGGCGTCTGTGTGAGCATGCGGTCTCAGCACTGGGGGACCCCACTCCTTCCCCGAGGCCCCCCCATAACTGAGCCTCCTTAGAAAGCCCGGCCCACCGACAGCACCTGTGGCTTCTGAGAATGCGCCCTTGCAGGGACCCAGGAGAATAAGCAAAGCCAGCAGACGTTTAGGAGTTTTCCGGGACCAAGTCCCGCCCCTGCCTTCCTACCGTCCTCGTCTTCCTTTGTTTAAATTACAAAGAGCAGCACATACACTTGGAATAAAGCTCATGGGGCACAAGTAACTTTAAAATCTTTCATGCTTCCATCAACTGGAAACAATTATTGTAATTGTTAGTGTATTTTCTTCTATTTTTTTCCTGTACTGAAATTTCATTAATTTTGTGTTATATAATGCATGTATCATAATGTATTATAAATTGGCATGCTTTCTAGAAACAATTCACATACAGAAATAAAGGATAAATTATTTCCTATAATCCCAACCCAGAATAGTTGTAGAGATAACTATTGTGAAAAGTTTGACAATATTATTATATGCATATTAAATTGACTATATGTTACTATGCAATAAATATATAATCTAGATACTATATATAGTATCTGATATATATCTATTACAGATTCTTTATTATGTATACTGACTTGATATATATTTTTAAATGTATTTTTATTGATTTCAGAGAGGAAGTTGAGAGGGAGAGAGAGAAACATCAATGATGAGAGAGAATCATGGATCAGCTGCCTCTTGCACACCCCCCCTGGGGATTGAGCCAGCAACCCTGGCATGTGCCCTGGCCGGGAATCGAGCCCTGACCTCCTGGTTCATGAGTCAGTGGTCAGCCACTGAGCCATGCCGACCAGGCTGTACTGACTTGATAGTTTTACCAAATGGCTTCCACTGTGCATTCTGTCCTGTTATTTGCTTTTTCTCACATGACACATACCTAGACATCTTTCTAAGTCCAGATGTGTCTCTACTCCATTTAAAAAGTTACTATGCAGCATCCCTTTGCATGGATGTTCCGTTTTTACTTCAGTAATTCCCACTGGTGAAGGTTTGTCGTTTCTAAGCTTTTCTCTTACAAACAATGCAGTGGCCATTCTGTGTATTTAGCTTCGCACAGCCAGTTGGGAAATAAAATTGTGGGATCAAAGGACATTGTGCATATATCTTACAAGATGATCATAATTACATCATATAATATGATGCCCTCCCCTTCCACTAAAGATTGTTTCGTGTCATGATATCACATTAACTTTGTAAAAGTCACTTCAATGGCTGCGTCGTATCTCCCAGGGGAACCCATGCTTCTGAGCCCCATGGACACTGTGCACATGAGACAGCACCCCTCGCGGTCTCGGCTACTGGCTCTGTGGCTGCCCCGTTAGCCACACGCCGAGACTGGAGGTGGCTCTTGAATATGTCTTGCTGGAGGCAAAGAAAACAAACATAAGTGATTTTTAAAGATTGTGTTAAGTCTGTAAAGATAAGAAAAAGATACAAGAAAGTTCATTCCATCATTTTACTACGGGACGATGCCCATGTTTTAAAGATGACTAATTTCTTGGTAGCAAATCCAAGCCACCTAAGAGTTCAGAGAAAAATCTCTTTAAAATAGTCATGTTGGAGCTAGAGGCGGTTTCCAGCTGAAACAGCACCTTCGCAGTTAATCCAGGAAACCACTGCGCCTGCTGGTCGTGTGCTCGCTGACCTGACCCTGGTCCCCTGGTTTACACACAGGCTCGTGGGCCTGCTGACAGCTGTCAGGTGTTCACACCTTCGTCATCGGTAAATCTTCAGTTAGCCCTGGCCAGTGTGCTCAGCGGTTAGAGCGTCAGCCTATGCACCAGACGGTTTCAGGTTCGGTTCCCGGTCAAGGGCAGGTACCTGGGTTGAAGGTTAGATCCCGGCCCCGGTGGGGGCGTGTGCGGGAGGCATCCAATCCATGTGTCTCTTGGTCTCTCTCACATCGACGTTTCTCTCTCTCTCCTTTTGTCTCTCCCCCTCTTTCCTTCCCTCCTTTCCACTCTCTCTGAAAAGCAATGGGGGGAAATTTCCTCGGGTGAGATTAACAACAGCAACAAAAATCTAAAGTTACAATGCAGACCAGTGAGCCTGTTCAGGCATGTATTTCTGCACCGATCAAGGCCTGCTTCTCAGAAACACCAACAGAGCAGACCCTGAAACTTACACAGTTTGGTTTTTGTTTTGTTTTTTAACTTGATTTCAGACAGGAAGGAAGAGGAAGAGAGAGAAACATCAGTGATGAGAGAGAATCGTGGATCGGCTGCCTCCTGCACACTCCCCGGGCCTGTGCCCTGACCGGGAATTGAACCGTGACCTCCTGGTTCATAGGTCAATGCTCAAGCACTGAGCTATGCCGACTGGGCACTAAATATATATATATATATAATTTTAAAGACCAGATATAATGAATCAGAACTTCTAAGAAAGACCCCAGGTCACTGGCATGGTTAATAAGCATCCTGGGAGATTGCCATTAACAGGGAAATTTCTGGAACAGGGCTTCTCCAACAGTAATGTGCTTAGACTCACTCGGATGCTGTTGACACACTGTGGACTCGGCCTGGGCAGAGGCTGAGCCAGCCTTCTGACGAGCCTGGGGCCGGGCAGACACTGTGTGGGCAGCCAGCTTCTAGCGCTCTGCCTGTCACAGGCCCTCTGCGCACCTGGGGAGGGTTACCTGTAGGTGTATTTCACAGCAAACGGCAGGAGCATAGAGTTTAGCGTCCAACTGCAAAGGGGTGGAAGGCCCCACACTGTCCTCAGGCTCACAGGACACAGGCCAGCCGGGCTCTGAGGAGGAAGTGATGGCCGTGGGAGGAACAGCCGGCTAGGAGCACCTGCAGATGCCGGAGGAGGCCCTCCCTTCGCTTCGGCGCTGAGCTCTGGCCGCATCCAATTCGCCCCTCACAGCACGCCCTGGAGGTGGACACTGCTCATCTGGAAAACGTGATTTGCTCGAGGGCGCGGGGCCTGCTTCCCGAGCCAGGTGCGTGCCTGCGTGCTGCAGCCCCTCGCAATGTGTGGCCATCACACGCAGGAGAGCGGCTCTATCTTATCACCTTTTGCCTGGGGAGTGACTTGGCCTGAGGTTTTCAAATTCTGATGGGCTCCTGTCTCCTGATAACAAGACTCGCCTGGTCGCATCCCAGACCTTCCTCAAGGCATCACCGCCCCGGGGAGGAGCCAGGCGCGGCCGGTTTGACCAGCGCAGGGGGGCCCTGATGTCGGAGCCTCCGTGTCAGGCCTGCGGAGTTCACAAAGGCCCCTTTTCACAGGCCCACAGAAAGTGACACGAAACTCGCACGGCGAGGAGCCGAGAGGGAAGGGGCTGTGTGCGGGAGGAGGGCGGGAGGACGTGGATTCGCAGTCCCTGGCTGCCCAGTCGCTCAGAGTGTCCCGGAGCCAGTCGCTCAGAAGGGGGAGATCCGCCTTGTAAAGGGGTCCAGGTTGTGGGGGACGCGGGGAGGGACTTCTGAGCCGTGTCTTGAGCCCATGAGAACAGGGGCAGGAAACCAGCCCTGCTCCCGCCTGCACCCAGGACCTGCTCAGACCTGCATGAGGGGCAGGCACAGGGCTGGCGCCCAGCGGGACTCTCTCCGGACTCCTGTTTACCTCGCCTTTTCTCATTTGTTGGTTTATTCAGGCCACTTTTTCAACTGCAAGTGAGGTCACCACCAAGGACAAGTCTCGGAGCTGAGACTAGAATGCGGAGGAGGCCCTCCCTTCCTCTCGGGGAGCAGTCCCCCCCCCCCACCTCCACGTCAGGGCAGGGATGAGGTCCAGGGGAGGGACAGGCACAAGGTGAGAAGGGCACGAGTGGGGGGGGGGGGGTTGTGCATGAAAGACAGAATCAGAAGACAGGAGGAGGGAGGACGGTACTGATTCTAAAACAGATGGAGAAGCTGGGTTCCGGCTGAAGACCCGGAACTGGGTGGCAATCTGACCCAATATCAATATTTTTTACAAGAAAAACGTACGTGATGCCTTGGAGCCTACAGGTGTCTCACTGGCAGTCCACGCCCGCGTCTTGGGGATACTGGTCTGTATTTGCAGAGGCTGCTAACGACAGCGTCTGCGAGCTTCCCGGAGAAAGGAAGTGGTGGCGCCAGGGCCAGCTGTGGATTTACCAGGAACGAGTCGCATGGACCAGCCGGTGGCTGTGGCGGACGGGGAAGCGGGCGGCGGCGGTGAGTGGGCGGCAGGGCAGCGGCCGGGATCCGCAGACGCCCCGGAAGGGATGTGCGAGGGCGCGTTCGCCAGGCGGCTGCTCCACGCTCTGCTCGTCCTCACAAGCAGCCTGTTAAGAAAATGCTGTCTTCCCAGGACACAGTGAAACCCAGGCCCGCGGCCGCCCTGAGGAGAGGCCCCAGCCCTGGGCGCAGAGGCTTTATGGTCTCAGTGACCCCTGGTAGATGGGACCCAGGGCCCACGGCAGACTTCGCCTCCAGGCCCTGCGGAGAGGCTGGGAGCCATCACAGGACTCTAGGAAGACGGGGTGGGGGCAACAGCAAACAGGGAAAAGGACTGGAAGCTACGCAACCCAGTTTGCAAATTCAGGCCCCTGGTCTTTGGTTTCCAGCCACCAACGGAGTCATGGCTGCCTCTCACTATCGCAGTGACGGCGAACCTTCTGAGCTCGGCGTGTCAGCATTTTGAAAAACCCTAACTTAACTCCGGTGCTGTGTCACATATAGAAATTTTTTGATATTTGCAACCATAGTAAAACAAAGATTTATGTTTTTGATATTTATTTTATATATTTAAATGCCATTTAACAAAGAAAAATCATCCAAAAAAATGAGCTCGCGTGCCAGAGGCTCACCATCACTGCACTATCGGATCCCGGCACTGCGCCTGTTTAAAACAAAACGTCTTCAGAGCAAGGCAAAGACCACAGGACCCGCTGACAGGTGGAGTCTAATGAACAGAATAAGCTGATGAGCAAAGGAGAGCCAGAGGCGTGGAGACGTGGGACAGGCCGACGGGGTCAGAGGGGACAGGGGAAGGGGCCTGGATGCAAGAAGGTGCAGAGATGAGCCAAAGCCATATAGGCACAGCCACGGACATAGGACAGCGTGGTGGTGGCCAGAGGGAGGGGTGGGGCTGGGTGGAGGGAGTTGGGCAGGGGGAGGGGGGTTGGGGAGGCTGGGGGACATCTGTAATAGTGCCAATAATTCAAAAATGTAATAAAAAAATAGGAGACTGTCTTCAGCGAGTCACTATGTATTTTTAGCCATTTTTCTTTGCCTTTACACACACTTTTTAGCAACAAATGTACCTTCTAGAACCTTCCACTAGCCCTCAATGTGAGCTCCTTGTTTCCAAGCTTTGCCTGCTCAGGGCTTCGGGCTATGGATGCCCTTTGCTTGGCCTCTATGCTCAGACCGCTCTGCAGTCTTCCCAGCTTATTCTCGTGGCGCTTTCTTGTTCCATCCACCCAGATGGTTCTACGCAGGGCTTTGTGGTTGCAAGGGCCAGACATTCCGCTACGTTAGCGCGAGCGAAAGGCTGTCTCAGAGCGACATGGCCTGTGGTTTCTCGGTAACAGATGGACAGCTCAGGAGCCCGGGCCAGCTGAGGCTCGTTGAGGCTCACACCTGAAGACCCGGGGTGTGGGGCGGGGGGTGCGGGGCGCGGAGCTGTGGCTGTGGTTATCTCAACATTGTAAGGACCAGGGACGCTGCTGTGGCTCAAAACACCGCGTCCTCGCCAAGGATGGTGGAAAGGGAAGGTGGGGGAGCCAGCCTTCCCCTTTGGTCAGGGAAGCAAGGTCTCTCACAGGAACCGGTCAGGAGACTTCTGCTTCCATTACGTTTACAAAAACACTGCCGCAGAGCTGCCCAGAAAGGAGGCGAAACCACAGGCCACTCAGCAGATGGAGAGAAAATTGTCACACAAAGAATTCGTATTGAAAATACAGAAAGAACTTTCGCACTTCGGTAAAAGATGTTCATGCGACAGGCCTACAACTATTGCAGCAACATGATGTAAGAAGGGGCATTCCGCCCGGCCGGGTGGCTCAGTGGTGGAGCCTCGACCTAGGAACCAGGAGGTCCCAGTTCGATTCCCAGTCAGGGCACATGCCCGGGTTGCGGGCTCGATCCCCAGTGTACCTCTATATTTTTAGAGGTACACACGCACATGTAACTTTGTGTTTTTCTAAAAAGAAATGACAAAGGAGGAAGAGAAGCAGAAAATTCAGGATCGTGGTCACCTGGCTGCAGTGGGGTGTGAGGGCCCGGAGGACACCGAGATGCTGCAGGTATTACAGTCCGCAGTGGGTTGGGAGTTCCCCATTACGGTGTCATCTGTCAGAACCGCCTTATGTGTCTACATTCTCTGTATTTATGTCGGGTATGACGTGAAACTTTAATAAGGTGAGAAGCAAACAGCCGTGGCAATGAGTGTTAGAGGGTTATACTGTGCGTGAAACTGCAGGGGGGGGGGCAAACACACTAGGGAACAGACACTGACAGCTCTATCTGTGAGTCCACAGGCTCCCTGAGAGGAGAGAGACTATAGTTGCTTCGGTCCAGGTGGGAGGAAGGACATGAGCACAAACAACACCTAAGGCGGCGGTTCTCAGCCTTCCTAACGCCGCGACCCTTTACTACAGTCCCTCATGTTGTGGTGACCCCCGATTTCATTGTTACAAATTGAACATAATTAAAGCATCGTGATTAACCACAAAAACACTATGTAATTATATGTGTTTTCCGATGGTCTTAGGTGACCCCTATGAAAGGGTCGTTTGACCCCCAAAGGGGTCGCGACCCACAGGTTGAGAACCGCTGCCCTAAGGGACCGTACTCTCATGGCTTGGCAGACACTTTATGAAACCAACAGCAGCTGTGAGGAGAGAGGGCGAGGGCGGCGGCCCGGGGAGAGGGTGTTAGTGCCCGCAGGGGGTGGGAGCAGAGGCGGGAACACAGAAGTGTCTGCGGAGAAGTGGAAACGGAGGGCGACGGCTCTAGTCTCCTTTTCAAAACGCCTAGTAATGAAGGAGAACAGAAAGTTCGTCTCAAGGCAAAATGACATTTCCTAGTCATTCTCCTCCACGGGGGACCTCGGGGCCTGTCTTTGGCACAAATCGCAGGCCCCGTTTTAAGTCACAGCACATCATGACTTAACACATTTTAATGGACTTTGCTTTGTTGATCTATTTTTAAAGCTGTTCTCTGTAACTCTTCCAAAGGGCAAAAAAAAAAAAAAAATCTGTTAATATATCACTTATTCTCTTTGCAGCCTCCTCAGCTAAGGAAACGTCTGCTGGTGTGGGAGAGACCAGAGCTCCCGGCAAATGCCACTCCTGCCCGCGGGCTGGCCCTGCACCAGGCCCCTGCACCACCGCACTCCCTTCCTCCCACGCCCGCGTCTCACTCGCAGCCGCAGCCCACGTGGGGTCTCCTGCTGCTCCTCTCCGTCCCCGGCTGTGGTCCCCGGCTGTGCAGCCCGTCTCCTCTCTTGGGGGCTCAATCAATGCTGAAGAAGCGAGTGAGCGAACTGCAAGCACAGGCGTGAGGTTTTCTGAATGCTCCCCTCGGAAAAGGTGTTTTTAAAAGTCAATGTTTGTTTCAGAAGCTGTTTAAATAAAACACGGCCCCTAGACTGTGCCTGGCCCGCATTCCCACAAATGGGATGGGAACGAATACCTGATGGTTGCCTTTCCTGTGGCCTTGCAGCCTGGGGTCCTTTAACCTGGAAGGCAGAGAAGCCACAGAACGGACGCCGGCGTATCTTTCTCAGGGATAAATTAAAGCTTTTAAGAGATAAAAATAAAAGGTGAAACCCAAGATTCACATTCCTTTCCAAGAAAAACGTGCTTCTTCAAGTCCTGTTTTGGCTGCGGGGGTGGCGGGTCGCTTAGCCTCCCCCGGGGAGCAATGTTGCCTCTCTCACTGATTTTATTTTGGGGGTACTTCGCTAGAAACTCTCGAGGTAGAGCTCAGTTTTCCATTGGCACCTTTCATATTTGTACAGGAAGGTCCGAGTAAGAAGGAAAGACACCGAAACATCTATAGAGGGTTTCGTCTTTAAAAAAAAAAAAAATACGTCTATGGATGTCAGAGAGGAAGGGAGAGGGAGAGAGATCAATGATGAGAGAGAATCATTGCTGGCCGCCGCCTCCGGGCCTGTGCCCTGACCGGGGATGACCCCTGACCCCGGTTCGCAGGCGGCCCGCCGTCAACCTTCCATAACCTCCGCTTACTCCCCGGCTCCCAGGCCGCGACTGCAGCGCCGAACAGGGATCGGCAGCGACCCTGTTCCGGATCAGGAAGCAGATGCCTCGTCTCCACTGCGTTCCCCCGGCTCCGGCACCGGCACCGGCACCGGCACCGGGGAGCACCGCTCGCTGCCGTGGGAGAGACCGCCGACAGGGTCCCAGCGGCGGGGACGTCCGCCCAGACTGGCCACGGCCCCCAGGAGCCGGGGATGGAGACGGCCCCCAGGAGCGGGCCGGGGCGGCGCAGCAGGGTCCGGCACGCCTGGCAGGCCCCGGCGGAGGCCCGGGGAGCACCGGGCGCGCGGGAGGACCAGGCCGTCACGGCGCACCGGGGGGAGCGGGGCCGCCGCCCTTAGGGTCCGGGCGGCCGAGGGTCCCTGCGGGGCGACCAGCCCGGCGGCCCGTGCGCAGGTCGCAGCGCCGCGGCCGCACCGCGTGGGAGACGCCCTCAGCCCCACCCGCGCGCCGCGTTCTGCTTGGGGGCGGGGCCTCGGCGCTGATTGGCCGGAGCGCCCGCAGCCCCGCCCCCACGCTCGCGGCGCCGGCGAGGCCCCGCCCCTATCCTGTGGCCCCCGCCCCCGCGGCCCCTCCCGCGCCCCATCCTTAAAGCTCGGGCGCCGGCCCCGCCTGTTGGAGGCGCGGGATCCGGCGGCGGCGGCGGGCGGGCCGCACACAGGCCCGAGGAGCGCAGGCCGGGAGGTAGCGGCGCTGAGGGGAGGGTCCGGCGCCATCGCCGCCGTCCAGCGCCGCCGTCCCGTCCCCTCGGCTGCCCGGCCGGGACCTGCGTGAGGCGGCGCGCCGCCCGCCCGGGCCGCCACCATGTTCGACAAGACGCGGCTGCCGTTCGTGGCCCTGGATCTGCTGTGTGTGCTGCTGGGTAGGTCCGCCGCCCGCGCTGCCCCCTGCTCCGGCCCGGGCGCTGGCTGCAGCCGGGCGGGGGCGGGGTCCCGCAGGCCGGCCCGCCGCTTGCCTCTCCTGGCCGGGAAGCAGCTTCATTTTCCGTCCGTAAAAGCCCGGGACGCCCCTCATCAGAAGGTGCTCCCGGGTGGTTCGCGGTCAGTCGCTGAGGGGTGCGGGGCCAGCTTTCCGCCCCAGAGCTGCAGGAGCTTAGCTTGCCTGTGCTTTTGGGGGTGCGCCCCAGACCCGCCCTGCCGCCCCGCCCCGCGCTCACCTGCCCCGCGATGGTCCCGGTCCTCCCTCCCGGGAGCGCCGGCGCCTGCTGCTTGGTGCTCCTGCCTGTAGGCGCGGGACTGGAGCCGTCCCGAGGCACGTCGCCCTCTCCAGCGTGTGTCCTGCGAGGCAGTGTGCTGGGAGCTGCCCGTGCACGTGGAGACCCCGGGAGGACCCTGGAGGTGCAGGCAGCCCCGCTCAGTTCAGGCGTCAGGCCGGGTAGCTTCTGGGGCGACAGGTCTGTGACCTCAGAGCATCCAGGTGGCAGGTCTGTGACTTCAGAGCATCCCGGGTGGCAGGTCTGTGACCTCAGAGCATCCAGGTGGCAGGTCTGTGACTTCAGAGCATCCCGGGTGGCAGGTCTGTGACCTCAGACCATCCTGGTGCAGGGTTGCCGCCAGCAGCGTCAGGAATAGGTCATCCCCGGGTTGGGCCGGCTGCCCAGGGCTTGCAGTCCTGCTGAAGACTCGCACAGTCTGCTCCCTGGTGGGTCTTTTGGAGGAAAAATCCCTTTTGGTTGTCGATGAGACCGTCACTGTTCACCAGGACACTGTACTGTTCCGCAGCGAGTTGTAGGGTGAGGTTAGGAAGAGGAAACGCAGTTTTGGAACCGCTTTTATAGAAAGACAAGTAGTCGTCTCGGATGTCAGGACCGTATGATTGCATGACATACATTAAAATTTACTTGTTTTCAACAGGAAGTTTACCTTCGGTAAAGATGTTAAGTTTTAAGATGGGCTTTAACTTGTCCTCAGTGTCGCCGCACTTCACTTACATTTCCGCCAAGGAAGAGGGATCTCAGCCAGAGCCGATCTGGACAATTCTGGCGGGTTGGGTAGCCTCCCGTCACTGCCGGTGGGGTGTGCTGTCAGAATTACACATCAGCTCCCCCTTTTCCTCCCCGAGGGGAGCTACTAACTCAGGAGACAAACGTGTGTGTTTTCACCTGTGCTGCTTGGCAGTGAGACTCCACGCTCTGAGGTGCTGAGGCTCGTGCTGTTACCCACAGGGCCGCTCCGTGGGTGTCCATGCTGTTTGCCTCTTCAGGGTGTGCCGGCGGGAGGGCCCGGGTGCCGGCGGGAGGGCCCGTGCCCGCGGGAGGGCCTGTGCCTGCGGTCTGAGTGAGGATAGCTCCGGGGTCTGCGTTCAGCGTGATGCAGCCGCCCAGTCTGCGTTGGCGAGAGTCACGGGACAGCCGATGGCTCAGGAAGATAAGATTGTGCCTGGGGTCGAAGTGCCTTTGGTGGTTTAGGAAAAGCCTGGTTGTGGGGATTTAGGCATTAAGTATGTTTTAGGAAAAGATCTGTTTGAACCGTGTTTCATCTGTTTTTGTGTTACTAGAGCTTCATTTAAGGCAATTCAGTGTATTGTGATAAGACCCAAACTCCCCTTTTCTAAACAGAAAATGAGGTACTGCCCGGTTCAGTGTGGTTCTAAGGTGACAGGAGACGTAACCACACCGACTGACAGACAGCAGGGAGGGACAGTGGTGCAGCAGAGAGCGCCCTTTGCGGGTGGCGTTTGGGAAGACAGTGTGTTTTTAGAGCAAACTCCCCTTCTAGTGGGGTCTGAGTCACTTTAAGTTTGCTCCTGTTCACCCTCCTGGCGGCAGGAGATGGGGCAGCCTACAGCCATGGGAGCCAAAGGGGGTTATCAACCTGGCATGAGCTTTTTTCCTGGGGGGCATCTCCAGGTAAGGGCTGACTGTGCCAACAGAAAGATGACTGGGCACTTCCTAAGTACAGGGCTCTGTGAGAATGGCTCATAATTACAACGCGAATGTGTTCGGGCTCTGATAATGACACCCGTCATCCGGCGTGTCCATTGTACTGGGACAGGGCTCTGTGTTGTGTTACACGCTGCTTTATAATTTCACAGACGGTCATGTCTGCTGAAGTGACCATTAAACGTGTCCTCTGTGTGTGAGTATGCGGGCATATGTGTGCGTGCAAGCAAGCATTCTGCCCCCAAGTCAAGGTATCATCGCTGGAAACATGAATCCCACAGCCAGGCTATTCGCGTCTTCAGTGGGGCCAGTCCTGGAAGAGAGACCTGGGAGAGCTGCTGTGAACTGGCTCCTTTCTGAGGCGGAGGGTCGTCTTGCCCTCCGTCGCTCTCTGGGTGATGGGCTCGGGGATGGTGGGAAAGGCCTCAGAGACACAGGAAGCTGCTCCCCAGCGAGCAGAGGGCGGGAAGGGCAGGAGCTGCGTGTTTTGTCCAGGGGGGAAACCACGTCCCGAATAAAACTTACTGGTGCTTCATTGCTGGGGGCCATTCGAGACTTTACCCACCATGGCTTTAGGCTGCCAGGAAATGGACTCCCAGTCCACGAATCGACTCAGTGCACGCTGAAGGAAGGCTCCCTCTGTGCCGGGCCCATGGTAGGCGCTAGGGGCACAAAGATGACAAACCATCCCGGCCCTGTAGGCGCTCAGGGTCTATGAGGGAGAGCCAACGAGGCTATAGTCCACCCCGATAAGGATAATAATGGGGTTTGGAATAGGTGCCCTTTGAGTGCAGGGAAGGGCGTTGCCTCATATGATTCATTACAGGTAAATGGTCGTCTGTTTACTTGTAGCGAAGCAGAAATGACAAGAGGCACCTGGCGTTCCTCTCAGAATCCGCCTGTCCCTTCCCCAGGTGCTAGGTAGTCGGACTCAGGAGGTGCCTGTGTGTGAGACTCCCTGGGCTGCCCGCGAGGTGGAGGCTTTGGGGGAGCTGATGGCCTTTCTGGGACCTGTGTCTGCTGGGAGGTGGTCACTGTGCCTCCAGGGCCTCCCTCCGCCTGCCCTGTGCTCGGGGAAGTGACCTCCGTGGACTGCGCTGAGCCCTTGCTTTTCGCTGCTGGTTGGCCTTGGCTGGTTGACATGGGCAGGGCCTGGTTTGTGTTGCAGAGCTGCTCTGTGTTTCGTGAGCAGGTCACAGCGATCGGTGGCCTCCCTGCCGGCTACAGTTACAGAGTTTGCTGGGTCTGGTCCCTTCTGGTCCCCGTGGGCCTGCGGTGATAGTGGCCTCCTGATCGTGCTCGCCTGGGCGTGTCTCACCCCCTTGCTGTCCTCCTTAGGTCCTGCCTGCACCTTGAAGATGGGTCCTTCACTACGTTCTCTTGAATCCCCTATTGGAGGGCGCTGTGTTTGGTTTTGGTTTTGCCTGGACACTCCTGACCATACACTTGCTGCGTTTGACGCCAGTGACAGCTGCCCTAAGAGCAGGTGCAAACAGGAGCTCATGGCCCCAGCGTGGGCTTTCCGGGAAGGGCGGGGGTTCCTCGGCGAGCTCCGGGTGTGGGCCGAGCTCCGGGTGTGGGCTCACCATTATGCCGAATCAGAGTCAATGGTCAGATCAAATCTGGCAGCTAGACCTGGGCAGCGACTACTAGGGGCTGTGGAATTCTGTGCCTTCTCCTCCCCGTGGCTTTCACCAGAATGCTGACCTCGTTCTGCCCCCGAAGTCGTATCCCTGAGGAGTGGTCTCGCTCCTGACCCGCAGCCTGGGCCCCTTTTCCATGGGGGTGCGGGGGGGGTGACCATGTAGTTTGCGAGAGTCACTTGCTAAATAGTTGCGCGTGTTGGTTTAATCTTTAGTAGGTGCCGTGCGTTGTTAGGTACAGACAGCCCCCCAGTTAGGGCAGTGCCACTTCTATTTTTTTTTTTTTTTGACTTTACAGAAAGCGAACACATTCAATAGAAACCATCCTTGGGATTTTAAATGTTGGTCCTTTCCTGGTCTAGTGATAGGCGGACGTCCTCGGCGCTGCTGGGCAGGGGCCGCCTTGGGTCGCGAGGGGAAAGGTCAGGCGCTCCACAGTGCTCCCCCCGCCAGCGGTTTGGGGATAGTGCTTTCCCATCCCGTCGTGTCTACAGAGCGCCCATCCTGTCTCCTGCTTCGGGTGAGGAGAGGAAGGCAGTCACCCACGGGCTGAAATTCAAGATGGTTGTCCAACTCCAGGCCAGTGTCCGTGTTCTGAGCACGCTTCAGGGCGGCGTGGTTGAGCTGTGAGGTTCGCAGGTCAGAGTATTCAGTGCATTTTCAACTGAGGATGGGCCTGCGGGGACTTCACCCCACGGTGGGTGGAGGGGCGTCTGCATGTAGATGAGCAGGTAGGACAGTGCTGTGCTGGTCGCCTGCCGGCGGCGGCATCTATGAACCAAACTGCGGGAGGTCGGCTGGGTTGTTGCCCCCCAGAAAACGAACGGCAGTTGGTGAGACCTGGCGGCATCTGGGGTCAGGCTGGCCCTGCTGCACGGCTTTTCCGGTCTGCGTGGCTCTGGTTGGTTTTATGCGGTTGAGGGCTCACTAGGCTCGTCCTCTTGGATAGCGACGGAGATGCTCCGACAGGCTCCCCTCTGGGTTTCTGAAACGCACACTCTTCCTCAGACTCGCTCTGAATTACATGCTTTGCAGACTCATGTGCGTCCTGTGAATCTGTTGCTTTCTCTCCTGCTTAGTCATTGTGACTGAGCTTTCCCACGTTTCCCACCTGTTACCCGGCTTGGGGCCATCCTGATCCTTTGGGGTAAGGGACTGACGTCTCCTTGCTCCTGTGCCCCCCGCTAAAGGCAGACGCTAGAAAGTCCCCAGGCTCCAGGATTTTAAGTGAACCCAGTTCCCGTGTAGTTTCCGTTGATGGGAAGGAATTGGGATGTTAGTTGTTTGCTTCCTCCTAACTTAGGAGCTTCATTCAGCATTTAGGTTAGAAACACAGTC